TTCTCTTGAAATTGCAACTCCATAGGTAGGGATGTTGCCAAATTTTGTGAACCCATTATTTCAATTTGAAACTCCCAGTTTCTGACATGAGTTCTCCGTCAGGATGAGACTGCAGCTGTCTTTTTTGATGGCCACAGTAATGAAATCTGATAGAATTATGATGATTAAAATTGATAGTTTTGCATCAGTTATATATAGATGGCATAAAATGTTTGTAAAAACGACATGAACCATATAAATGACACAAAACAAACACATGAATTGGAAACATCAGCAAGGAAAATGTACAAAACAAAAGCCAACAACACCAACACAAAAAGGGGGGAAATAAGGGCTTTAGATCCCTATGCAGAGGAGGCACAGATTAAACTGATCGACCACTGTGAGAAGCAGGCTGCTGAACAAGATAGACCAATGGTCTCATCCAGACGCACACTCTTCTTATGTTCTTAATTTTTTTTAAAAAAAGTAGTAAAATTACAACTACTATTAATAGTGATTTACTCAATGCATCATGGAACAAAACATAACTTATAGTTTTTATGCGTTACTGACTCTGGTGGAACACATACTACTTCCCGGCTTTCACTGGGTGGCAAAGCAGCCCCAGGCGACCAGCAGCGTTGCCGGGAGCTTAGCAATGCTGTTGGTGTAAGTGCTCTGGAAGGAAACAATCAGGGCAATCTGGTGGCAAGCTCTGGGAAGCTCTGATGACTGGAAAACACTCCTGCCAGTTGTACTATCTGTTGGCTTAACTGCTTCTCTTCCATCTCACTGACCTCAGTAAACAACATTCAGCCAAGCACAGGAAGAAAAGATCTATCAAACTGTTACTGAATGTTATTATTTTTAAATCAGTTTTCAACGTAACAACAGTGAAAGGGAGAAGGGAAGTTGTCTGGTTACTAGATTACTTAATATCCTCTTGAAAAAAATGTATGAGAAACTGGATAGAGTTGCAAGTAATCTCGTTGAACTGAAACCTCTCTATAGAAACGTCAATTATGGCTGCGGTCACACGGAACATTAGCCACGCTAGAGAGACGGAAGATAGGCGGATTTTCCAGGCGCGATCTCACCGCCACATCTGGGAAGCGTAGCGCTCCCGTGGCTCACCAGAGGCTTCCCGCCAAAGATGCGGGGTAAAAAACTAGTACCTCCAACGTACTAGTTTCCGGTAACCGCGGGGCAAGGGCGGGCGTCTGATCACGTTTCCGATGGCATCCGGCGCCCGCCCATGTCCCCTTGCAAAAAGGTTTTTTTTCCCCCAAGTCTCCATGGATGCGCACAAGCACCCAACGGAGCATGCGCATACTTTGGTGTACAGAAAAAAACAAACCCATTTGCCGCACCTCGCCACTTCTTTGCCACGCCGCAGGCCTGTCCTGTGATCGGCACCTCCCCCCTACCCACGGGACCTCCACAGAACCTCCACAAGACGTAGGATCACACAACCACGCGTTATTTGGCTCCGGGGTAAACAGCCACGCCTCCCCCCCACGATATCCTGCCCGTGTGACCGGGGCCTATATTTATGAAAACTTTGTTTGGCTCCAGTTTTACTTAATATCTAAATGCATATCCTTGTCAAACACACCAGGCAGCTAGGACACACCAGTCAAGGCATATTCAGCGTTTTATATCTACTCCTAGAAATATTAATTATATCCTCATTATATCCTTACATATTTATTACATCCTCATTACATCATTATTTTTATTACTTTGTATAAAAAATGACTTTCCCAAGCAATTGATATGTTTAAGGCTAACACTTCCACAAAAGCCACCCTGTGCCTTCCCCTCTGCGTCCATATTAACAAGGAGGTAAACTAGCTTTAAACATATCTCTAAATTGCACATACAAATATTTGTAATTTTGGACAATTAGAAGCTTAGTTCAGGGGGGGAAAGATAAAAGGCAAAATGACTCAAAATTTCAGACCATTCCTTAGTCTGGATCATAGAATCAGCAGGTCTTGGCTTAAGAGGAACTCCCTACCAGGTTGGGTACTTCCAGCAGCATTTCAAGTCCCTAAATACGACTTTGCTCAGCTGAAAATGCAGTTAATACTGGCTGTGTTTACACAGGGAATATCCAGCTGTAATTATAGGAATGATGTTATGATAACAGGAAATCCATGCCCTGTGGAGATACTGAGGAAGAGGCTTACAGATATTTGCTAATCATCACCAACAAGGAGCTTTTGTGTAGTTGGAAAAGAATGATCTTCCCTCTCCCCCCCAACACATACCCTGTGGACTTGGATCCACAGATGGTTTAAATCATCCACACCAGCATATTCTACAGCCTTCAAGACAGACATTTGTTCATGTTCAGTTATAGTGTTATTTGGTTCTTCTTGTTGAAAGAGCAGAGTTATTGTCCACAGGGATTTCTCCCCAAGATGTGCCTGCTTAATATAACACAGTCAGTAGAGTACAGCAATGCTGCAGATACAAGGAAGGAAACAGCGAGGCAACCTTGTGACAAAGGTGGACAGAGCGTGAATGATGGCCAGGACAAGACAGAGCATGAATGATGGGTCAGGACAACTGCTGAAGTAACTAAAAAAAACCAAGTCTGCCCTCTGCAGATTCCCAAAACAGACTAGCTGGATCCTGTATTTGCTATGTATCCCAGGAGACTTCCTGCATAGTTCTCAAGACATGAAGAAAAGTCACCTGGTACTAGCAAAAGCATACATGGTGTGTAAAAAAAAAAAATCCCTGCTATGTATTATCACGGTCCTAGGAGTACGTGAAGGCCAGTACTTCTACTGAAAGTACACTTAGGTAGAAGGGATACTCGAAACGCATGTAAGAGTTGTTCAAGGCCAAATTCTTCCATACAGAAATAGTTTCAAAAGTCATTAAGGATGTGAGTGGAAGGAACTCTCTGCCCTTTCCATTCCATCATTCTCACCTCTGGCTTTAACTTCTAAAACACAAGGCATCTGGTTCCATCAAAGCCAGGGAACAGAAACCTGCAAACCCATAGCACAGGGGCCACCTACCTTTTTGATCTTGCCACTTCTTGTCCCAGCAAAAACAACGGTGTGCCCACGATAGTCATAAGCAGCTACTGATGTCATACCATCTTCCTTGTCCACAAACAGTGGCACACCTTCAATGGTGACTGTCCCACCCAATGGTTGGTTAAAATCCTGCCCACAGAAATTGTCATCGATTTGCAGAGGCTGTAGGAGAGAAAAGTAAGGGTGGGAAAGACAGAGACAGATTAGCTGTTTGACAGTATTTCAGCACACCACGTAAATGACCGCTAATGAAAACAAGCTCTAAAAATCTGCAAATCCATCACAAACGATATAAACAGGAAATTTTGGTCTCTGGAGCAGATGATGCTGCATAGGGAACTTCCAATGGACAGGGAGTTTGGCCACCTCGCCCCTCACAACTTTTCGTTCCTTCCAATGTTTCTCAAACAGCCCATGGGCACCCTCTCATTCCAACTCAGTGCTTTAAACATATCCCCAAATTGCACATACAACCAGTGCAGTTGGCACAGCACAGGTCATATATGTGCTGTCCATAGCGTTTCCACCAGGACTTGCGCCACAGCATTCTGGACCAGTTGGAGCCTTTCATGAGCAGCATCAGAAAATTGCACTATGCGTTATGTTTCCACTTTACCTAAGGCCATATTCACTTACATAGTTAACATGATACACGATCTAGCCCTATGTTTTAGGCACCTTTAAGATGTAGATGCAAGGGCCTGAGTCTCACAAGGAGGGTCAACATGCCTGAAAGTTATGCTGCTTTCCTACTGCTCCACAAGGCTAGCTGACCTAGGGAGAATATAAGCAAGCGCCAGTAAAAATAAGATTCATTGAATCTCCATTTCAAGTGTGATACGTCAGTCCTGGAATGGGGGTCAAGGAAGCAGAGACAGAATACAGCAGTTCACCGGCGACCACTTTTGCTTTCCATTGTTCAGCCCTATGGAAAAGTGAAAGAACTGGCAGGTATGTGGGATCAGCACTCTTTTGAGGAAACGTCCATTGAAAGAATATAAGAAAGAATTAGGGTAAGTGGCAATAAATTCTGCACTCACAGGAAGAAGCACTTTTTTAAAAAATGACTGCCTGGTCCTTTTGCTGCTTTCTTCAGCAGTTTACAAAGTAATCAGTAGAAAGAATATTCATTAAGTGGAACAGGATACAGGGAGAGGAAGGCTGCTAATACAATCAACCTATCATTAGCTCATCTGATAAAATAGAAGCTGGCCTTAATGTGATAAAAATGGGAAGAAAAGTAAAAATCTGGTTGGTAAGATCAGCACCTCTCTCATCTAATTAAACTTTTTCCAGGTGGCCCAAGACATAGAGTAAGAGGAGGAGAAGGAGGAGGAGGAGGAGACTGGATTTATACCCCGCTCTTCACTCAGAGTGGCTTATATTTTCCTTCCCTTCCTCCCCCCACCACAGATACTCTGTGAGAGCTCTGACTGAGAACTGCTCTTGATAGAACAGCTCTGAGAGAACTGTGGCTTGCCCAAGGTCACCCAGCAGCTGCATGTGAAGGCGTGGGGAACCAAACCCGGTTCTCCCAGATTAGAGTCCACGCTCTTGACCACTACACCAAACTTGCTCTCTGGCCTACTTTGGCTAGTGCAATTTGGCTGACACTTTAAGCAAAACAGCTCCATATATTTCTAGATTATTCTTTAATAGGTGCTTAAAGTTCTTCTGCACTTTGTACGGAGATCGAAATAGGTCAGCCCTTGCTAGAATGGCTCACAATCTAATAGCCATGGAACAAGAAAGAAAGAGCAGTGGAGGAAAGAGGAAACTATACAGATTCAGAGATCATATGCATTCCCTCAGATAACTATGATTACGGAGGAACCTAGCTGTAGCTAGTTGGAGTTAGTCTGAGTCTTTTCCTCCGCTTAAGAAAGCTGCCAGGCACCTTAACATAGTTTCTGAATATCTATCTATCTATATCTATATATCTATATCTATATATATGTTGTTAAAATGTTGTATATAGTAAGGATAGGCTCCAGTCACATGTGACGGATAACGCGGAGGGGAGGCATGGCTATTTGCATGGTCGCAATTGGACCCACCCTGAGGCGATCAGATGCAACGGCGGTGTACCGGGTTTCTTCCCTTGGGCACGTATTTCCGGCGCGCTCCAACGAGGAAGCACAGAGAAAAAAGAGTGCGCTGGAGCGATCACACAGAGCAAGTCCGTCTACAGCCCGTCACAAACCATTTGAGAGTGGACTTTCACAGGTACTTTTTAACTCCGCTTCTTTGGCCAACTGCTACGGGTTGCTGACAGGTGCAGGACGCTGGCCAGATGTGTCCGTTTGATCATGCCAGTAAAATCCGGCCAGCATTTGTGAGTATCCCGTGGCAAATTCTGCATATGACCGGGGCCATAGTGTTGCAAAGGGGGTTACAGCATTACTAAGAATTTCCCTGCCATTTTTCAGGAGCCAAGATGCATGAGCTAGCAGCTGGCCTACTAGAAGGAAGGCCTCTGTGTGCATACTTTAAATCAGCACCACTTGAGGAATTTGTTTTGCTGGCTTTTATCACAGTCCCAAGGATTCCTTGCACAGCTCTTAGCATCTGTGCTACGGGCCCCAAGGGGAATGGCGCTATGTAATTCCACGCACCTGTGTGCTTTCCAAATCTCCCCCAGGTCACTCCTAAGTAGGGAATGTTGTATTTCACCAACTGTAACAGGAACTGGCATGCAAGCTGTACACACACACACACACATGATCACTACATAATGTGTCCATATACACTACTTCCTGCAGTTTCAGATGGAACATTTGCCACATCCTGTCCTAATCAGCTAGGCCTTGTGTCTATGCAGATGCTGAACAGCTCGTACACTCTGTTTCAGACAGAGACACAATTCAACAGGGGATAAAGTGTGTCCTCTTCACAAAACAGTTGTGAGGCATTAAAGGAGTGAGGGGGGAGAGAGAGAAACAGAGAGACAGCGAGACAGAGAGATTGGTATTCATTCCTTTCAGAGAGTGCACTTTTAGCAAACTACCCCCAGAGGGAATGGCAAGTAAGTAAAGCTTGTCCATCCATGCCTGTCACACTAGTGACAAGCGGTAAGCATCTCATGGCCTACATTTCATATGCATTTACAGAAAGGCATGCCTCAGGACAGCATGGACTCTGCATCACAGGGGGTAAGGTGAGTTAATAATTCCATGCTGGCTCCAAATACCAAAACAGAGAAAGAGGGCAGTTTTAAACCAGACTCCTGATCCATCTGGGAGGTCCTCCAGGAAATAGACTCATTTGATTTCACCCGGAAACTCCTTTAACTTGCACAGACAGGGGACTGCTATTTGTAGTGCAAATGGAACTCCAGTAGGGACAATGTTGACTGTGCCACAAGGCAGCAAAGCTAAGTCAGAGGGCAAATTAAGGGTTCTAGTTTCCACTCTAACTTTTCGTGACAGCCCCATTCCTCACTGTCTGTAAGAAGGATACAGAGCAGGACTGGCCCCCCTGTAGGGCCCCTTTGTGTGCATGCATAAACATACACTCCTCCTGCTAAGATTCTTCTAATCTGACATGTGTTTCATGGTCAGGTGCCTGAGTGAGGAAGACATATTTGGTCCCCTGCCCTGTTTCACAATATTTACTCATCCCTGTTTTTTCTCAGACAGATACTTTCTCCAATCAGTCAATGTCTCTCGTCATACCCTGCTGGTCCCAGCTGCCTTAGACTGGCTCAGGGACCTTTCTAGGCCAAGTGGAACAACCTCATTAGGCTGCATCTTAAACTTCTTCACCTTATAGCTGGGGCAACAGCAGGACAAAGAAGCACCCTGGACTCAAGATGAGCATGTTTTGGAACTTCAGGGGCGTGAGAAGCAGAGGACTGAGAGGGGAATAATTTAAATGATCTGTCAAGATGAGATGAATACCCTCTCTTTTGAAGCTGGAGCCCTGCCAGAGGAGGGGCAGAACAACTACTGGAGCAGAAAGTGCTAAAACTAGCTGGCCTCTTTAATTTGTTGATCCAGAACGGGAGGCCATAGAAGAAACAAATCTCTGAGCATTCTTTTCTGGAGTTACCACAGGAGCAAGAGCCAGTGTGGTGGGAGAGCCAGAATGGTGTAGTGGTTAAGAGCGGTGGACTCTAATCTGGAGAGTCGGGTTTGATTCGCCACTCCTCCACATGAAGCCAGCTGGGTGACCTTGGGTCAGTCACACTGCTCTCTGAGCTCTCTCAGCCCCACCTACCTCACAGGGTGTCTGTTGTGGGGAGACACCTTAGGACAGAGAAAAGCAGAGATTTCTTTTGGCTAGCTAAACAGGAAATCCACAATTTCAAAGCTTGCTGAGGAGTCTTCTTTCACGTCTAAGTAGTCAGTATCATTGTACCACTAAGTGGTAGACATTCTACATGGTTGTTTCCTGTCTGGGTTTCAAAGTGAGCCAATATTATAGCAAGTGTTCATAAAAACTACTTTTTAAACTGAACAGCCAACATTGATTCTAAAATCCACCTGTCAATGATACAGTGTGCTGACTGACCCAAACAGCAAGCCCATTATCCTAGCTACGGAATAATTTTATGGAAGAAGAGAAGACCAACTGGATTCTCATACCCTTCTGATCTCACTGTGAACCTACAAGGCCTCTATCTCTCTGCAGAGCTAACAGATGCAGAATAAACTATGCAAAAGAAGCAAATGTGCACTGATGGAGCAGGGGTCCATCAGTGGCTATTAGCCACAAGGTATAGATAGGGGCTCTGGGGCAAGTGATGCTCTGTCTTCTTGGTGCTTGGGGGGGTCAACAGTGGGAGGGCTTCTAATGTCCTGGCCCCACTGGTGGACCTCCTGATGGCACCTGGTATTTTTGGCCACTGTGTGACAGAGTATTGGACTGGATGGGCCTTTGGCCTGATCCAACATTGGCATCTCTTATGTTCTTATGCACTATTTAGAGCAGTAACAGAATCCATCTTTTTTAGGTACAACATTTATGTTTCGTTGACACAAAAATACATAGAATACACAGTCCTGACCTCAGCACAGTCCAGTTTCTAGGACAGTTATTCTAGCACTGTAAGTTTAGATTTGCCTAGGTGTTTTCCAAAGAAGTGGTTGGTAGGTTTGCCAGCAACTTGGAGAAAAAATGTCCTGGGCTTTTAATATAGAGTCCGAATGCGTGTGGAAATT